CCGGGAAACAATCTCCCCTCCCCCGGCTGGTTTGGGGTGCGGGGGTAGTGGCCGGCTGTGCAAGAGGCTTCTTTGGGCTTTATCCCGAAGGGAAGGATCGGGCAGAGGGAGGGACAGCGGCTCCTCCGCCACGTCCTGCCCGAGCTCTGCCAAGCCCGGCCACCGGCACTGGCGCCGGCTGGTTAATCCCTCCTGTGAGAGCTCAAAAATAAAAATATATGGATTTATTCTGTGTGGAAAAGGGCCTGGGCTGGATCCAGGAGTTTCAGGAATTGTCACTATTTTGCATAAGGGAAAAATGATAAAAGTTAAAAAAAAAAAACCAAAAAAACAAAAAAAACCAAACATAAAATACTTAGAGCCAATCAGGCCCAACATGTGAAAATTGACATTTTTAATTTTTCAGTTTTTTGGTTTTTTTTTTTAATCAATGGAGTTGTCAATGTGCTCCAGTCCCAATTCTCCCAGCGTGGTCTTGGGGCTTTTGTTGCCAGTAAGAGACCTGGGAATGAGCCACTGACCCTGCAGCAGATGGGCTGGGAATGGGCACCCCCAAATTCCCATCTGAACCATCCCCCTCTCTCCTTGGCCTTCCCAGGCCTTGCTTCTGACCACAGGAATTTTTAATAATTTTTAATATGCTGATACTTGTGTCAATTAATATTTTTGGAGAATAAAGCCGCGGGTTTAGTGGAGGGTTTTGTTTACTTTTCTGCTATTTCAGTGCACGGGCAGTGACACGGTGTCCCATGTCCCCTGCCCGGGGGTGGCATGGGGCACCCTGTGATGCTGCGGGCACTGGGGTTCCTCCTTCCAGGGGTGATGCTGCACCATGATCCCCCTCTGGAGCTCCGCGCTCCTCCCCCTCATTAGCAACCAATTAATTAGCATTTATTTCCCCCTGGTTTCTCGTGACCTTCCCTAATTCCCTCCCCATTTCCCAGGGCTGAGGCAAGTTCAAAGAAGAGCTTGACCTAAATTCCCACCCGCAGTGGCAGTGACCTCGCTGCCATCTCCCAGGGAGCGGCGACCTCTCGCCAGGGCGGGACGTGCGGGGTGGGTGAGGCGGGTGCGGGGGTTCGGGGGCAGCGCTGGCAGCCCCCGGGTGGCACCGGGGCGGCTTTGTCCTCGTCAGGCTGGCACAGGGAAGGAGCAGCCGGCTCCGTGCCTTGGGGCTGGGCAGCTGCCCTCTCCGGGAACCAGGGGCTGGCAGCTCTGCCGGGCTTGGCATCATTCATCCCAGCCCCCCGGGGAGGCTTTGGGGTCCCGGTTGGGAGCGATCCGGGGTGCTGCCCCCAATTCCTGCGCCGTGCAAGGGCTGGGGGCAGCGGGCACGGCCCGGTGCCGGTGCCGCCCGTTCCTTGGTGGGATTATGGATAACCGGGGGCGGTGCTGTGCCAGGGGCCGCTCCGGGTGCTGTGCCAGCAGCACTGTGCCAGGACATTCCCGGCGCCCGGAACGGGCACAGCGGAGCGGCGGCCGGGCCGGGCGGGATGAGCTGCCCGGGATGGATGCGGGGAGCCACGAGGGATGATCGGGGAGCGCTCCGGGGCGCTGGGATGCAGCGAGGATTTGGGATTCTGGAATTCAGAGATACCCCAGGAGCCCGCGGCAAGGATCCTGGTGCAGGGGATGGACACCCCCAGGGGATGCTGCTGCTCTCTTCTGGGGGAGAATTAAGGCACCAGCCCAGACAATTCCCAGCTGGAAAGAAAACCCCATCTCCTTCCTGATTTTATTAATTTGTTTATTAAAGCCTGATACAGAGGTGTGGGGAAGGGAAGGAGAAACCCCCAAAGACAAAAACATTTTTATTTCAGACGTGTAATTAATAAAACTAAACCCACCCAAACACGAGGCAGCGCAGCCCCAGGTGTGGCTGCCCCTTCCCACCCCCCACCCCCCACGCTGATTTTGGGGTCACCTGCTCTGATTTATGCAAAAAAGGAGAAAATTTGGAGCCTGATCTGGCGCTCTACACCCTGGTCACCTCCAACCCTCGGGGCTGCCCAGGGCAGGATCAGCCCTGGCAGGGTCAGGGGATGCTCAGCTGGACTGGGAGCAATCCCAAGGGAAATGGGGCAAGAATGGTGAGCAAGCAAGGGAAAAATCAAGGAAAAACTACATGGATTTACCCGAAACACTATAAAAATAAAGAGGACTAATTAACTAATTAACACTAACTTATCAGTTAAATGATGCTGCCAGACTGGTCCATAGAGTTTAGGCCCTGACCAGGATTATTTAAAATCATCTTTTCTAGAAAATTCTAGATTTTGCTATAATTCTCTATTATATACACACACGCACATGGCCCACTGCGGCAGGGGCACAACCAGCCTTAAAAATAAATTACAAACCCCCCCAGTAGCATCAAATATACAGATCACTCCTTGCAGCTACTTTTTTTTTCTCTTTTTCTTCTTTTTTTTTTTCTATTTTTGAGGTGCTTTTTTTTCAGCTTTTTTTTCTTTTTTAATTTTTGCTTGGCTCTAAGTGAATTCTATCTGCAGAAGCACCAGCATAATTTTAAGTATTTTTCTGTGTGTTTTAAGCACGATTGTTTTCATTGTAAGTGTACAGACCCCCTTGCTGGACTATGTACATCCTGACTCCGGGACGTGCTGCGACCATCCCGTGGAGCGAGCGATGGAGAAATTGGGAAAAGGCTCCACGGGGCGAAGGGTCTGTCCCAGCTTGCCCAAAGTTCATCTGGGGAGAGGGGCTGGGCTGGGGGGCTCCCTGGGGAGGGGGAGGACAGTGGGGAGGACCCCTTCCTGCTGAATCTCTGTCCCTTCCCTGCCTTCCTCCTCCTCCCTCCGGGCTCCGGGGTCTTCCTCCGGCTCCTTCCCCCGCTGGGTGCCCGGCGGTGGCCTCGGGGACGGTGACACATGCCACCTTGCCACGGGTGGAGCGTGGCTCGTGGGGCCCGGCCAGCCCAGGCAGCCCCTTCCCCAGCAGGCAGCGAAGTGGGGGTGAGATCACATCATCCAAAATACTTTTTCAAACAGACCAGAACAAAGGGAAAACCAAAAAAGGCGCCATTCCCGAGGGTGGGCGGGCGGGGACTGCGTCCCCAGTCCTCCTTGGTAGCCCGGTGGCCCCGGGGTGGCGGCAGTGGAGGTGGAAGCGGGGCTGGGGGCGCACTGGGGGGCCGGGGGCCGGCCCTTAACTGGGCATCTGCACCTCGTTGTACACATCTGTCCCCTCTGCCTCTTCAAAGGTCACCACGGCGTCATCCGCGTCCAGCTGCAGGGAAGAGAGGCCGTGAGGGGCGCAGGGATGGGGACGGGGCTGAGGACAGGGACACTGACGCGTGGAGATGGAATTCCCACAGGCTGGTGTGGGAACAGGGGCTGGGATGGGGCTGGGGAAAGGATGGGGACGGGAATGGGGCAGGGACGGGGCGAGGATGGGGACACGGGTGGGAATGAGATGGTGACAGAGATGGAGACAGAGGGAGGATGGAGACGGGGATGGGGAGGAGAGCAGGGACGGGGATGGGGCAGGGACAGAAATGGAGATGAGGATGGGAGCAGGAGCAGGGAGAGAGGTGGGGCTGGGGCAGGGCCGGGAGTGCCAGGGCTACGTACACATTTGAGCTCAATGTCCCGGAAGATCCTGGGGAGCAGGAAGCGCCGCAGGGGCACGGTGAGGATGAGGACAAAGGGCAGCGCCAGCGAGGCCGGCGTGGACTTCACCACCCACAGCACCACGAGGAAGATGATCTGGGTGAAGGTGAAGAGGTGCATCCTCCAAGTCTTCACCTGTGGGACGAGGAGCCGAGGGTTGAGGGCAGGGGTCCCATGGCCTTCCTGGGGCGTTGGCTGCTGTGGGGTCAGCACAGCGTCCCGAGGAACCCAGCAAGGGTCAGCGCTGCAGGAGGAGGCTCTCTGGGGAGCCCCGGGCAGCTGCAGGGGCGTCACAGCCCAGGACACCCCCAAACCCACAGCCACCCTGGGGGCCACTCACGCGGGTGACGTAGGGCTCATCAGGGTGGTACTTGGGGGGCTTCAGCAGGAGCAGGATGCGGTCGAAGAGCTGGATGCCAAAGAGGGAGGTGACCCCCATGTAGAGGAAGATGCCGAAGAGCACGGCCAGCGGGATGTACTTCAGGATGGGCTCCATCAGGATGGAGACGCCTGTGGGGGTGAAGGAGAGGTTGGGAAGAGTCCCTGGGGACCCCCGAGCCTCCCTGCCCACCTGGGGACCCCTCCCCAGCTCACCAATGAGCACAGCCACCAGGAGGCCGCTGATGCGCTGCTCCTTGACCTCCAGGATCTGGGATTTCTCGCCCGGAGCAGAGGTCTTGCTCATGATGGTGAGGGCGTTGGCGTGGGTGATGGTGCGGACGGTGGTGGCACTGAGCCAGGGCATCCCAAAAAGGGCTGCCAGCCCCCCCATGGCCACGATCAGCAGCAGGTCCAGGTGGAAGCCGGTGCCCTTCACCAGTTTCCTCTCGGGCTTGCTGACGATGAGGCTGTGGGGACGCAGGGACCGGTCGGTGACGCGGCGCCCCGAGGAGCTCCCCTCTATCCCCAGCCCACCAGGCGCCCCACAGCCCTCCCCCGCCCATATCTCCATCCTCACGTGGTGATCTGTGTCTCGAGGAAGATGAGGATGAAGACCAGAAGGGCGGGAATCACGGAGGCAAACATCATCCAGATGGGGAACGGGGCATTGTTGCCCATGGGGTGGATGAACCAGCCCCGGGCAGTCGCGTTGGTGACCTGCAGCCCTCTGGGGACGCTGAGTTTCTGGGTGGGAGCAGAGATGGGGGAGTGAGGGGTGGGACACAGGGACGAGCACCCGCTCCCACGTCCCCATGCGGGGACACCCATCCCCCCCCAGCCCTGCCCCCTCAGACCTGGGTGTAGGTGTCGTTGATGAAGAAGTCGGCCAGTGCCATGATGAAGATGGAAATGGGCACGCCGAAGTCCCCGATCAAGCGCCGGACCTGTGGGGACGGCGTGAGAAACCTGTGCGGGCCCCAGGCCGGGGGTCCCGGCACCCCCTCCTCTGCAGAGCGTGCGCTGCCTGCACGGCTCAGCGCCCGGCCCTGGCGTGCCCCGGGGCGCAGGGCACCCTCACCTTGCCGGGCAGGAAGGAGCTGTTCTTGAACACGCGCAGGAAGAAGGCCATGAAGAAGGTGCCGGCCATGAGGACGAGGGACAGCAGCGCCGTGTTGGGCTCGGGCACCCCGGGCTGGAATTCAGCCTGCACGTTGTACTCCCGCTGCAGCGGGTGGTGCTTGAAAATCTGGGGAGGGAAGAGGAGAGAGTGAGGCAGAGCGGGGATGGGGGTCCCTGCACCCCTGCCGTGCTGGGAGCCCTGTGGCACCCTCCCGGTGGGCTCAGGATGGGAACCAGGGGCTGGGTGAGGCCAAGAGCGCAGCACAGATTGAGCACGGGGTGGTTTTGGGGTTGATTTTCTGTGTGGCTTTGGAAGTGGGGACAGAGCGAGGGCTGGGTGGTACAGAGGGGATGGACAGGTGTGCCCCAAAATCCCGCTGCAGAGAGAAGCGTGATCGCAGAATCACAGAATAGTCAGCACTGGAAGGGGCCTCACGAACTGGGAAACACCTGGAAAAGGGGAGGAAGCACCAGGAGACTCCATCCCTCACCTGCATCCCACTGTTTCTATGGAAACCTGGGTGACAACCACAACCAGCAGCCCCCACCCCCACCGTGGGACCCCCGTGTCCCTCACCGTGACCAGCTTGGAGAAGGTCTCGAAGATGAAGATGAGGGAGATGAGGAAGGAGAAGATCTCCTGGGTGTAGCGGGACAGGTAGCGCACCAGGAAGCTGCCCTCGCAGGCCACCACCACCAGCACCAGCAGGATCAGCCAGAAGCCGATCCACACCCGTCCCACGATGTATTCCAAGCCATTGCTGCTGCAGAACTGGGGAGCCCAAGGGCACGGCCCTGTCAGCGCCCTGGAGCCCCTGGCATGGGCACCAGCTGTGCTGGAGCCACGGTGGCTCTGCCTTCCTGGGATGGGGGTAGGGGTACCTCGGTGTGGCAGGACCCCCGTGGGATCACCCACCCAGCAGCAGCTGCCCAGCATCGCCCATGGGGTGTCACCCACACGGGGCCAGCTGTTTGCCATCACCCACGGGTGCCATGCACCTCACACCACCCCAGGGCCACCACCTGGGTGGCTCTACCTGCGTGGTCTCACCCCTGGGTCATCATGGGTGGCACCACCCCCATACACCCTCCATGTGCCAGGCTCCCCGTGCCAGCCCCCCGTGCCATCCCCCAGACAGCTGCACCGTGTCCCTGGCCCTGTCCCTGTCCCTGTCCCTGTCCCTGTCCCAGCCCTGTCCCTGTCCCTGTCCCTGTCCCTGTCCCTGTCCCTGTCCCCGTCCCTGGCCCTGTCCCTGTTCCAGGCCTGGTGGAGACACGCAGCATCACTGTAGGGACAGCTGGTGGCAGCACCCAGGGGCGCAGGGGCACCCACCGAGTAAAAGGCTTCCTCAAAGACCAGGAGGGGTCCCGAGAAGCCGACGACGAGGAGGGGCTGGGCGCTGAGGAGGCTGAAGAGCACGCACTGCACGCAGGTGGAGATGAGCAGCTCCGACACCCCCATCATGCCCTTGGTCTTCTCACCTGACGGGAGCGGAGCCGGTGGGTGCCGGGCTGGGGGGCTACACCCCACCCCACGCCTCTCCCCACCGGGATTAGGGGGAAGAGCCCCCCTGGAGCATCCCGAGGGATGGTGGGGAAGGCAGAGACGCCTCCAGCCCCGCGGCCAGCTGGGGGGACATCCCCGTCCCCGGCAGCGTCCCCAGCCTGTCCCCCCCTTTACCCAGCAAGCCTCCGAAGGTGATCGCGGGTGACAGCGCCGCGAAGTAGATGAAGATGACGGCGGCCAGGCACTGCGGGTTGAGGGCGTCCTTGATGTCGCTGAGGTATTTGGGGTACCGGCGGCGGATGTCCCGCACCAGCCCCCCGAAAGGCCGCCCCGTCCTGCGCAGGGGGTCATCGTCCTCCGCAGCCGCCGCCTCCTCCGGCCCTGGGGACACATCAGGTGGCCGTGAGGGCACCCCGGGCCCAAGGGGGGATCCCCCAGCCCCGGGGACAGGGGATGGCGGGGGGGCCGGGGTGGTCCCCGCCGTACCCAGGTCTTTCAGGAAGCCCCCGATGTGCAGCCTCTCCAGGGGCTGGTAGCGCCGTCGGAGCAGCTCCCGCTGCAGCGGGACCAGGGCACGGAGCAGCGGCTC